GTTTTAATCAATTTACTGAAAAGTAATTTTTATGTACAACACTATAATAATAGGAAAGCTATATTATGCTTTCATATAGAGCAGGGGTCTCCAAACTACGGCCCGCGAACAAGTTTTAACCGGCCCGTGGCCCGCATAGGACGCATAGGTAAATATAGATAAAAAAATTATTTCAAAAATGTATTTATATTATATTATATTTATACCTATTTATTTTTATTTAAGTATATTGTAAAGTAAACAATATTCTATACAAAAATATAAAGTAAATATATTATTTATACAGTCTTAACAAAATAATATTTTTTTTAAGGTATTAAAAGATGCACTAATATTATTAAATGAATGTGAGTCTAATTTAAACAAAAAACTTATAAAATATGATGAGTTTCTAAGTTCAAATACAGCTGAAGGCCTAAGGGTACCTATAGTATCAACAATTGATTTGATTACACATTTACATAATTGTGGATTCCAGTATGTACTTACTACAAAAATTAATCAAGATCTCCTTGAAGTATGAATCAAAATTTATTTATTTTTACTGTAAATGTGCCGTTCATATTTAACTATTTTATCTGATAATTTAGAAATTTTTTGGTATTATACGTCAAATATCAGGTCCAAATGACCACCCCACGACACCAACATTTTTGCAACTTTATAGGATGCTCTCAGTCTATTCAGTAATAAAACCTCCTAAATCAGAAAACTGTAGTGTTTTAGAGGGTAATTAATCAATAAAATAAAAAATGTTAATATAAATAAGAATGTATTACTATGCTGTTAATCACTGACATTATTTTAGAAGATACTTCAGTAATTTCTATTGGAGATCTCAAGGATATAATAAAAGAACAAAACATTATGTCGGAGAGAGAAAATAAAATAAATAAGCTTCAATTAAAAATTGATCAAATAGTGGACTTCGATGATGTATTTCAAGACCATAATTATTGCCAGACACAAGATTCAACTGTTATTGAGTGTGTTGTTTACTTTCCAGCAGGGTAATTATAATAATTAACTAATTAATTAATTATAGTTTGTTGTTAAACATAAAAAGATAATTATTAAGATTCACGAGTCATGTTATAGGTATATAATTAAAAGATTAAAAATTTAAACAAAATGTTCATTATGTTTAAATTCAATGAACATTGAATATGGACAAAACATCCACCCAGCTGCTGATCTAGTGAATTTAAAAACAAGAGGATTTTTAACACATCCCAACCATCAAATGTACATGATAATAACGTTTTTAAAAACCAATGTATGCAGACTCAATTAATTTTTTTGAAGATTTTTTCAAAAATGAAAATCTACCTTTGAAGTGGAAATTTGCCAATGCCGAACATAGAATTGACATATTTTCTAAAATTTTTGTTTTGTTTATTACTATGCGGATGAGGCAGCAAAGCTACGCAAAAAATATTGAATGTAAAAAATTAAATCGCACAAATAACACTGTCAAAATTGATTACTTCTTAAATAAACCTATTTAAAATTAAGTGTTATTACTTATTTTAGTAGATTAAGAAATTAATTAAAAATTAATATTAAATTAATTTAGTCTTGAATTTATATTATATTAAAAATGTGTTTTCCTTTTTGCTTGTTAAAGTATTTGGAATCATATAATTATACCAGAAAAATCCAGAAAAAGTATATTAGAGTTTATATATATTATTTAGAATAGAAAATATTAATTTTTACAATAGGCACTACGCACAAAATAATGGTTTATTGGATTATCCACACAATTAAAAATGTTGCTTTTTAAACTCGAAAATACAAAATAAGAATAGAATATTGATGATGTTTATGTAAGCAACTAGATAGCCCTTAACGTAACTTTTAACAGATTTTTGATAAGAACAATATTGGTGATCACAAAATAATGACTCGTTGTGCAACCATTCTATCTAAAGCCGTGCTAAGAAGGAACAATTATCAATAAGCGTGCATTATGTAAATGATAATGATAGGTTGCACGATGATTTTCTTCATTTTTTTTAAAATAAACAGTTTTGCTGGATCAAGTTTAGCTTCATCTATCTTGAATGTTAATATCAATTATTATAAATCATTGTTGACTATTTAAAATTATAATATGTTTTTATTTTTAATTCAGGTTTAAATGATTGCGGTATTGATTGTGACCACTTGTATGGCCAAAGCTATGATGGGGCTAGTCACATGGCAAGGAAATTCAATGGTATCCAAGCTGTAATTAGAGATACCCATCTAAAGGCACTAAACATCCATTGTTCTGCACATTCTTTCAATTTAGCAGTGATATAAAATCTGTTAGAAATTGTTGAAATAGTTGACTTTATGTCTTTTTCAACACAACAAAAAGAAAAAATGAATTAATCAACGTAATTAAAAATAGTGACTCCATACTTAGTTTTAACTCTAGGACACTTCAAAAACAATGTGCAACAAGATGGGTACAGAAATATGAATCGTTAAATGATTTTGTTGAATTATTACCATTTGCGATTAAAACACTTGAAAACATTTCTTCTACGTGGAATGTACCGTCTTCTGTAGATGCTGAAGTCCTATTAAAAAGTGCATTTTATTCAGAGTTCCTTATTTATTTATATTTTACTAAGGTAACGTTTTAATTGGAAATTTAAATAAATATGTTCTGCTTCTGCACCTAATTCCCTAAATAATAAACATATTTTAGATTTTTTTTTCTTTGGACTGCCTGTATGCAAACAATTACAAAAGGAAAAAATAGATTTAAAGCACACTATAAATATTGTAGAAATATTACTTTAGTCATTAAAATAAATTAGAGAAAATTCTGAAAAAGAATGAAAAATTTTATTTGAAAAAGTAAAAGTAAGTAATTTGAGTTTTATTTTGAAGTAATGCAATGTAGGGTATACATGATAATAAATAAACTTACAATATTATAATAGAATTAGATGTTATTGGCACAGAAATCCCCAAGTATCTTCGGTAGAAGAGTATTACATAGTTTGTGCCGTTTATAGATAATTTTATCAGCCAACTTACTTCTAGATTTTTAAATCATAAAACGGTTTTTGAAGGTAAAGCTATTTTTATTGTTATCTAAGTTTATCTCAAAACTCTAATCATAAAACTATGGTATATTTATTTAATAAAGAGTAATTGGGGGTGTGCCCCCACGGCTTTGTATTCTAAAAATCATCTAGACTCTCCACATGACAAATTCCTAAATACGCCACTAAATTTACTATCTATTTGTGACGCAAACTTGAAAATTTAAGACATAGTAGCTCAACTCAATGGCCTGGTTAATCACATGATTCTACTATTTCCAATAGTTCAGAAATACGAAATAAGTTGGAAATTAGCGAAAACAGGAATTAGCTGATAGCTATGCTAAATGTAGTTATGTTATGACTTTGGTTGGAAACCCTCACACAGTTATTGATCCAGCCTCTGGTATTTATGAAGAAGCCGTAGCTGCATTTCTAGTCCTAATTAATGAATTAGGACTAGAAATACTGTTGAAAGAAGTTAGGTAGGTACGATGTTTGGAAACGTCATTTTCCAATATTAGGTACAGGAATAAATGTCAAAATTACATCGTCACAAAGTATTATTGTTGCTACAGTCATATTACATAATATAGCCTGTCATTTTGGAGAGAGTATGCCTAGGCCCTAGAGTTATAACCGAAATAGAATAAATGATTTCAATAACAGAGTTTTATAATTTAGGCGACGATATTAGCAGGAATGCAGCTAAAATTACAAGAAAAAAGTTCTTGCGCTTTTTTAACAACTTAATTTTAGACGATGCTACAGTTGCTATAGTTGAGGGTGTCACTAACGAATAGCTGCTGTCTCACATTTACTTATTCTCCTCTAGAGATATGGATTGTAAATACCAATTAACATTTCATATTAAAACAGTTAATCAATTTCAAACTCTGTACTTATAACATAAATTTGTAAATAAAATAACAGCAATACATTTTGAAACAAAAATAAATGTATTTATTAAAATTTAAATGGGTTATAGCTTACGACCCAATAACAAAAGTATTTATAACAAAATCGTAATGAATCGAACAAAAACAAAACCATTAATAACAAAGTATAGTAATTAGTAACTAAAATAAGTAACTCAAATATTTATATTTAATTTTTTTTTCAATCTCTTTTTAGATTTGTAAAATCTCGTTTGTTAATTTTAACTTTTATGATTTTCAGTCATCATTTTTATTTATAAATTGTGTTTTTCTTGCTTGAGATGCATTTTAAGTTTGTGATGTTCGGTAAAAGCAGACTTTTGTTCTTCACTCAGCATAGCTCTAATTTATGCCCAACTTGTTATTTTGTCCTGATATGTCTTTTTATTTTTGTCACATTACTACCTACCTAAATAAAATCTCAATAAGCTGATATTTGAATAGGTTCATAGTGATATTTTTTATAATAGGGTTGGATGGGAGTATGTTTTATCATATTTTGATGGGGCAACCGACACGCATTTAGAGGGGGCAAGTGTAACCTGTTGCACAGGGTGGTAAATTTATACTGATTTATTATATTTGTGTATACTTGTTACTCAATTACCTTCACTAAATCACGTTCATCTACAAACAGAACATATTCCATCAATGGCTTTCCACTTAAACAAGTATTCCAAATTAAAGACCTTGGCATCCTTTATACGTCTTCTCTTTCATTTAACCAACATATTGATGCCATAGTAGCACGTGCTCTTAAGGTTCTCGGATTTATTAAACGCAACACTAAACATTTCACATCAGTGAATTGTCTTCGTTCCCTCTACTTTACATTAGTGCGATCAATTATCGAGTATGGAGTTGTTATATGGCACCCATACCTTGCAAGACACCTGCATAAGCTAGAGCAGGTACAAAATCGATTCCTAAGCTACTTAGCATTTACGAGTAAAACTGACGTGTCCCCCCATGACTATGTCCAACTACGTAAAATGTTTAATATCCCATCTCTCTCTTCGCGTCGCACCGATATAGATGTACATTTCTTAACTTCCCTTCTAAATGGTTCTTTAGACGCTCCTAACTTACGTGCTAAAATTCCATTTAAAGTTCCTACCCGTGGAATACAAAACCTAGACCAGTTTTATGTTCCCCATCACTCTACTGTATGGTTAAAATCATCCACTTCACAGAATGCTCAGAGTTACTAACTTAAATATACCCTAGCTGTTTTGGCTGCGTTCTCAGGCTGCTCTTGTTATTTGTACGCTCTAGTTTTTGTTAGAGTTTTTATGCTTATTACTGTTAATTTGTTATCTAATTGTTATTACCTACATATTATGTATTATTGTTTAACTGCCGATTGGCGTAAAATATATATAAATAAATAAATAAATAAATAATTCTTATATTTTTATTACGTTTTATCGAGTACCCGTTGTACAAAAAAAAGTTTTTTTACAGATTTCAACTATCTCCGTAGTTTTTATAATAGAAACAGTTTTTAATTTTTCCAAAATATGAAAATTGAAGATTTTTGATTTTCGAAAATAGTTAAACCAAAAACATTGAATTTCGTTTTTTAAAAAATTAAAAATGTACGATCGATTTAACTTAATATTATGATTTATGATAAGCAATTTAATCACTGATGTCTGTAGCCCTAGACATCACTGTTTCCGCATATAACAACTCGTAACAGTGTTTTTCAATATTTTGAAAAATTATATTCTCATTGTAATTTTTTTATTTTACCTTACGTTTTTTGAATTTTGTTGTTTATTCTGCCTATTCTCAAATGTACACACTAAAATTCTATATTATTCGGTGCTGAGCACCCTCAGTCCCGCCGATAGTTGCGGCACTGCATATATCACATTATAATATAATGAACAGAACAAATTCACCAGGCACTGGCTTCATTGATTGCAATGAATCAGTTACCTATATCGTTTTGCTCGAGTCCTGGGTTTTGTCAATTCATGGCTGTTGTAGAGCCTAACTATAAAATATGTAGAGATGAAGCAATAAAAAAAGGCTACATTCATTGAAATTAAAAGTTGAGAATAAAATAAAAAATTAATTAAGAAATGTGAAAAGTTTAGTTTGTACTACTGATGGTTGGTCTTCAATGGCACAAAACTCATATATATCATTAACTGCTCACATAATAAATAACGAATGGTTGCCAAAGTCATTTACTTTAGCCACACAAGAGATGGAAGAACGACATACAGCTGTAAATCTAGCAGAAAAATTAACACATATATTAGATGACTGGGAAATTAATGGTAAAGTTTTAACTGTTATCACAGATAATGCAAAAAATGTGGTAAATGCTGTCAAATTACTACCTCTTACTATAGACAATGAAAACATGGATGTGACATGCGCAGCTCACAGTCTACAATTAGCCATTAGTACTGCACTAAAAGATGAAATATTTTCAGAACTAATAAAACAATGCAGTTCTTTAGTTGGGCATTTCAAACATTCAAATGAAGCTAAACAGTCATTATTTAAAAAACAAGAACAAGTAGGAATTCCTCATCAGTCACTTGTTCAATATTGTAAGACACGATGGAACTCAATATACTTAATGTTAGACCGCCTTTTACAAAATAGAACCTGAATTTTAAATGTATTAACGGATAGAACCGTTACGTCTTTGTATATTGCTCAAAAATTAGAAATAACAGAAACACAATGGTTAAAAATAGAAATTCTCGTAAGTCTTCTGAAGAAACTTTTTATTGTGACAAATTTATTTTGTTCTGAGAATCATTCACCAGCGTCGATGGTTAGACCATTACTAGCACAATTAATGGAAAATCATTTAAAAGAAAAAGAAAATGATGATCAAAATGTCACGTATTTTAAACGTACAATAATACATGAAATTAAAGAACGATTTAAACTTGGCTGGACTGAAACAAGTTCTGTCTCTGTCAAACAAATCGCGTCTTTTCTAGATCCTCGGTATAAAGATTTAGAATTTGAACAGATTGGTGCAAAAAATTCTAACGGTTGTAAAGGATTTACTTGAAAGATGTAGAACCCAAAACAATAATTTGGAACAAGAACTACCAGTTCAAAGGAGCGATCTCGAATTTTTGTATGGAAATATAATTACAGACAGTAATGACAGAAGTATTCAATTTCAAAATTTTATATCTGAACCTCAATTGAGATTCGATCTAAATGCATTTGAATGGTGGAAATGTAGAGAGAATAAATATCCAGCTCTTGCAGAATTAGCGAAGCAATATTTATCTATTCCTGCCACGTCCGTCAGCTCCGAGAGATGTTTTTCTACTGCTGGAAACATAGTTACTTCGAAAAGGACATGTTTACTGACTAAAAATGTAAAAATTCTGATATTTTTATACCAACATCGAGAATTATTGCACTAAATATATTTTTGAGTTTAGATGAGCATCACATGGATGTAATTCCATTATTAAATTATAAAAAAATTATTAAAAATTATTAATGAGATGTGTTTTTGTCCATTATTTTGTGTATCTATTTGTTATAATATTTACTAATATTTACTTATACATTATTTATTATTACATTATCTATTTGGTTTAATTTGTTTCATGTATTTATATATTTATTAAAAAACGTTAAATTATAAAAGTTATTATATAAAACATTAGTTATTAATATTATTTAATGAGCGTAGGTACCTAAACAGTTATACTTAATGTTAAGCCTATTTCACACGTCATAGTCACTACATACAAAGACCAATGGTGACAAACGTGATTATATAAATTAATGGTTCACGTGATTATAAAAATTCACGGATTCACGTGATTATCCAATTCACGGAGTCGCGTGAATATAATAATTCACGGATTCACGTGAACAAAATTATAAATACACGTGACATTTTAAGCAACGGGTTGTATAAATTGAACCTTAAATTCACGTGAACACGTGAAATAAGGAGCTCTACATTATATAGGGCTCGGAAGTAGTTGCAGTAGCATGTTTTTATTGGGCTATTCAATGTTTGCTAAGAAAGTTTGAAATTATTTTCAAGACACTACGAAAAACATTAAAAACATTAATAGTTTATAGTAAAAGTTGATGGTGCATATTTTTGTATATTTAGTGATTTTAGTCGCACCTAACTATCGTGTGATAAGCGCTTATATCGAGTTCGAATCTCGGATGAGGAAATTGATATTTTGCAATTTTTTTTCGTAACGTAACGTTTTTCGATTTCAATTCTATGTAAGTATTCTTGTTATTTTGTAACATTTGATGAAATGTTCAGTGGCTTAAAATTTAAATTCACGTTTTAATCAAGAAACTTTAAATTTAATTTCTGAAGTTGGAAACTAATTATCAATCTGACAAGCATTGAAAATGATTATGCTTATTTGTTTAAAACATTTAATATTAGTATTGATGAATTAAAAAGTGAAATCAGACTAATAAAAATATTCCAAATACAGAAATGCCGAAAGGTTCATCAACGGTGTCTATTACTCAGTGGCTTCAATGACTTAGTCAATCTAACAGAGGAAATATTTTTAATAATTTATATAAAACAATTGACTTATTTAGTACAATACCTGTCACAATTTGTTCCTGTGAGAGAGCTTTTTCTAAACTAAATATTGTTAAGTCTAAATTACGGGAAAGTATGTACTAAGAGCATCTTGACAGCTTACTTTTTATGAGTATTGAACAAGAAGTATGTACGAAACTTGATTATGGAGAAATAACTGAAGAATTAAAAGTATTAGTTCCAGGGAATCACCGATTAATATCATAAAATTATAACTATAATGTGTTTTTGTGTGACAGATTTTTTTATTTAAAAATACATTTTTTTTTAAATTGTTTATCTTAACTCAGTATTGACACAAAATAACGGCCAAATGTAAACTCATACACGAATAACCTTTTTACCTGAAAATCAAAGTGTACAAAACGTGGGTGTACCGCTTTAATAAAAGTCTTGAATGAAGTGATAGTGAAACAAGATCTTGATCATAGGCATGAAGCAGATACTAAGATACTATTTTGGCGATACTTTAGCACGCCACAGCACAAATAAGTAATTCGTTGAAACGGAAAGCAAGTGATGCTCTATATGAAATCCCGACACAAATTATTAAGCGTGAAATAGCCATCAGTGGAATTTCGGATGTTATGAATACTGATGATATGAATAGATTTCGGAAAAATTTAAATGCCGCCAAATTGAGAAAAATTCAAAAATTACATACAACCGTCCTCGAGCTTCACGAGTGTGTGCGTACATACTCTCTGAAAACGACTACAGGCGAGAATTTTGTTTTACATTATGACGAGGAGAGTAATGTTATCATCTTTACATGCCAACATAATCTTGATGCACTTCAACATGTAACTACTGTTTTCGTAGATTAAATCAACTGTTTGAATAGTGACAAATATTATATTACCACAAACTGCAAATATGATAAAACGATAAAATCAATATCCAACATATCTATGGGTAATCTATAAATAAATCTTATATCGGTCGGTTGTTCTTAAACATCATTACTTCCCATGTTTTATTTGTTATCATTGTTATCCATATGGATAGTTAATATTATAATACTTTATACAATTTACCCAATAATTCCACTTTTATATATATAAACAAAAAGACGGGGGCCCAGGCAGCGATGGTGCCTAGCTGCCTTGGCCAGGCCGCCACTGATCTCCCGATAATATTATTAAATACTTCGAATGCTTTTGGAATTTTCGATGCATCCTTTTTAAATTCTTTCATTCTTTTTTGAGTCATTAATGAAAGATCTTTAAATAATCCAGTTTGTTGGATATTGTCAACACCGTCACCAAAAAATCTTCGTTTTATTTCTGAGATGGTGTTAAAAAAGATATTTATTCGAAAATGAATTAATGGATCAGTTATCAGTTCATCCATAGCTTTTTCACCTGGTAATATCTTTTTCTTCCTTAAACAATTGTTTGTAAGAGGTGTAATATCAAATGACTCTGATATTAAGGTGATAAATTTGTCTGCTTCTGAGAGAATTTTGTTTAATCCCGTTTCACATCGAATTAGTACTAGTTGATCATATTTTTGTTTGATTAAATATGAGACAGACAGCAAGTCAGAATCTTTTTTTGCAATAACTCAGAGACTGGTTCAAGTATGCTCAACATACAAATATGTAGGTAACATGTGTATAAATCTTGTGGACTGTAAATACAATAAAACTTCATTAATTTCTGAAGCTCCTTTTTTGTCAGAACTTTCTTCTCTAATGCTTCCCAAGGTTTCTATTATAGATATGTATGTATTTAATACAACATCAAGAGCAGATTTATGCGACATTCATCTAGTTGTAGACATTCTTTTAAGTTAACGATCTTGTTTTCCAGGGTATAATTCTCGGTTCATACATAGCACTTCGAAACTTGCTACTTGACATGAAATCATATAGTCTTTCAATGTTACCAAAGAGGTCAACTGCGTTCAAAGCTTCTGAAACAGCAACCACAACAACCAAATTCTAACGATGGCTACAACACCAAATATAAGTTGCCTGTGGATTTTCATCTCTTATGTATTTTTGAAGGCCATTGTATTGGCCTCTTATATTAGAAGCTCTATCATATGATTGGAAAATTAGGGTTTCTGTAAAATTTAAACCATTTGAACACTTCTTTAAAAATTTGAAATAAATGATCGTCTGTGGTTTTTGGAGTATCTCTCAATGATATTAATATTTCTTGAATTTTACAACTATCATCATCAATGTATCTTACTATAAAAGAAACATGTTCTCTGCGGGAGACGTCAAAAGTGGAATATATTGCTATGCTAAAGAACCTTGTTTTTTTAATACTGTTTTTTATTGCTGATTTTATATAATGTGATATTGAATCAGTTCGATCATTTTGTCGCCGCCACAAAATAAAAGAATATTGTGGCTTTTTATTATTGGCCATTCCTTCAAGTTTACCCATGTAATTTGCCATTGTAGGTGAATGTTTTGACAGTAAAGAACATAAATCTTTAAAGTTTCCCCTTAAACTACAGTTTACATTTTCTCTACACGCTAAGTTATGTCGACCTATGTATAATGATATGTCAATCAATTGTTTTACAATTTTTTTTTCTATTTGCATAAACTTGTTCTTTTCTTTTTATTGTAAGACTAGGAATTCACGGTAATGAAGATTGTCTCAATTTTAATTTTAGTGAAGAGTAAATATGTGACGAAGATGTTTCATGACTTATAATACTTTGTGTACAAGAAGACCAATTTCGGAAACCATCTTTGACCCATGATTTATTTGGTTTTTCTTTACCACGACCAGGGAATAATATACAATCAATACAGTACATTTGGGTCTTAGATTTGGAATATGTTAACCACATCTCTCTTAACTGTTGACCCATCTGCCAATATTACATAGTATAAACTTTTCAGAAACCTATGGCCATTGATTTGGGGATAATTCCCACCAGGTAGTTCTATAGATTCAGGCTGGCAAGGTCCCAGTTCTAATATTTTAGAAGTCATTTCAAATGTTTAGTTATGTTATAAATTTATACCCATGTATTTATAATATTTTTCAACTAATATTGTAACAACGTATCAGGGACCTTGTGTTAATGTTCAAGCTTTTTAACTCAATGAATAAAATTGTGTTGACTAATTTTATAGAAAAAAAAAAACTAAACATTTTAAAAACGTCAGCAAACAAGACAAAACAGTTTAAAAATTTATCAAGTATGGAAATTGATAAAATAAACATATGGTGTAAATTTCAAATATCCACTGTTATTGGTTTTTGAATTACATTAAAATAAGAAAATCACTACAATCGAGTGAATATTCAATGTCATAAAAATTTGAACTTCAAAAGAAATTTAATTTGACTTTCCTGTAGATATATTAATTTGATAATGGTAGACAAACTTATGCGGAATCTTGTATTCAATTTAAAAATCTTAGATTTAAAAATGTCTTATTCATAATTGATTTGTTTTATATTTATTTAAATCGTAATAAAAGAAACTCATGATTATACAAACATAAGTACATAACTTGCACGAAACCTCCATAAAAAATAACAATTTTTTTTCTAATTTTACTTAGGTAAAGGTAGGTACTTTTTATAGTAGAGTATAGCTCTGTAGTTATTACATTATAACCTAAACTACGTATTTTATACTGATGATTATAGTATAAAATATTAAATCATCTATCAATAAATGTGTGTTGGTAGTTACTAGTTACCTACCTTAGAAATACAATATAAATTATTAAGCAACGTAAGACGTAATCTTGGTAAAATGTATTCGGAAGTAAAATATAAACTATCGTTTTATGTATCAGCCATAAGGCATCTTCGAACACGGACGCGTTTTCGCTCCAACGTAGTTTCGACATATTTCCTCGCTGCGGCGCATCGGTCGCGGCAGTTCGCGTGGTGGCGTATCCCCTCCTCTGCCGCTCCGGCAGTTGTACACTAGTTGTACGTGAATTTCAATTTGTTGTCTTTTCCTAGCGGCCGAGCTTTACGGAACGTTGTGTCCGCTCGCCACCGCCATATGCTGTGTCCCGGCTGAAACCATCACCGACGATGCGTCATATTTGCGCTAAGTCGTCGTTCCGTGCTAAGCTGTAGTATTGCGGGTCAGACGACGCGTTGTGTTTTTCCATTGTATTGGAGCCGTAGACGCTGCGTTTGATCACTCATCAAGTTCAATGAGTACTCAACTGTATGGGGAGATATCTGTCGAACTGTGTACCAATTGGGTCCGCTCGCCATTGTATGAGCCCGTGGAAGTGTCGTTGAGTGGTGAGATAATTTTCATCAAAAAGATTGTAAATGCCGGTAAACAGCGCGAAACGAGAAACGGAAATAATCTATAAAACATATTTTAGCTTATTAATACACTCAAGCGATCGCCGAATGCTAAATTATAGATCTTATTGTTTAATAATTTACATAAGCTACCCATTAAAAGTTACAGAAAAACGTTGATTATGTACATTTCGTGAGAATAATATCGAATTATTTTCTAAATTAATCATTGTAAATTCTAGTTTTGGAAAAGAACCAATAATAGCAGTGTATAATCTTGTATACAACTGCCGACATGTATATAATAATGCCGATATATATGTAGTAATATTTTTTATTAAAAAATGTCCCTAATCATAATATATATTATATAATTAAAAATTATATCGAGTTCCTGTAGGATTTTGTTTTTAATTTATGTTGTTAAAATATAATATTATAATTTAAATAATCTAAAGGGCACCTTAGTTTATATAGTAGTATTATATAAATACAGTGAAACCCCTGGAAATGTGTTCTAGGGTTCGTATCCTTTGAACGATTGGGAAATCTCACTTATTTTAGTACCTACATACTAAGACTAATAATATTTTAATTCTTAGTCCTACAGTAATGATATTTTTATATTATAAACGTACTTAGGTACTTCGCGTAACGATGAACTTTTTACTCGTCGCAATTGTCCACTTTTCCACACACCAATGACTCTAAACTGGTAGATTTCACCAAGTTAAAAAATTCGACTCCACCGAACGTGTCCGGTGCCCACAAGTGTTTGGTGGTGAGATTATTTGTCTATTGCGTTCACGATAAAACTGTTAGACAGGACTTTGGACGAGGGTAGAACTCCGGATTTTTCCGTCAATATGCCAGTTAAAAACTCCACCTTCTCCACGGTACTATACAATTTTTCCAATTCCGTTTCAACGTTTCAATTTGACGCGGACTACGGCGGTGCTGTGTGTCGCGGTAGTACGGTCGTAAGTTTGCTGGTGGTTTTCTCAATTTCTCAGGGTCATCCGTAGAATAATTTGATTTATGTTTTTGTCACTTTTTCTAGGGATGGTCAGGGGGAGTCAAAGAACTTTTTTGGGACGATTCAAAGAATTTATGTTTTATTCTCTGCATCTGTTGGACGTTGGCATATCTTAAAAAAACATGTAAAATCTTTGACTGTTAAGCTCGATGGGAATGTAGAATAGATTGTATTAATGCTATTAAAAATGAAATCTCACAAATAATAGATGCACTGATAGAGTTAACTGAATTAAATACTGCTGATCATTTAGTTATTTCTGAAGCTAATTGATTAATTCAATTTATAGAGAGATTCGATTTTAGATTCTGAGTGAAACGATGAATATATTGATTTTCAATGATGTGTGTTTTTTTTTTTTTTTAATTTTTTTTTGTGTCTGTCATCATGTTTTAGGATAGTAAAAGTGCTTGGATTTTCTTCAACAGTAGCTTTTCTGATAGGAAAGTGAATCTAGTTGGTACTTTGGGGGGTCAAAAGTAAAAATGTCTAAAGTAATTTTCACAAGCGCCGGGAAAAACAACATAAAAATTAAGGAAAAACGGGAATTTTTACGCAAAATCGGTTTTCCACAAAATCGATTTTGGTTTTTGGTGTAACTTTAAAAGAAATGAAAGTATATACTTGAAATTTTCACTGGTTGTTTATATTTTCATTTTATATAAACGATAACATTTTCAAAATATTTTGATTTATTTTAAACTGTTTAGTTACATTTTCATTTTCCATCTTTTTTTAGTTTTTTTCTAAAAATATCAATAAAATTTTATTTGTTGGTTGCGAAAGCTTGAAAATTTAATGGAAGGCTCCTAGTATATTGTTTCAAAGGTGAAAAATATTAAAAATCTCTAGTCACAATTTTTTTTTATAAGCATTCATAGTATATGATTCAAAGTTGACACAATAAGACTGTGATCACAACTTGGAAGTATGATTGGATGTAGATTGTAAAAGTAATAAGTAGCTATTAATGATTTAATTAATGATTTATCAGCATGTATTCTCCCGTCTTCCAAGTAGGTATCAATTTCAGCAGATCTTAATTACATTTTTAAATGTAATCTTTAATCTTTGTTAGTTTTAATATTAGAGTGATTAATATTTTTTAAAACTATTGAAGCCTATAATGATAACTACTGAACGGGCTACTGAATGAAAAAGTGATATCTTTCACACTTGTAAGACACACTTGTAGGCAACACATGCAGAAAAAAACAATTTTAATGATATTTTTTAGCTTCATGTTTTTTAAAAATACTCGGATAATGTCGAGCTTTGGAGCAACTTTAGAACGTATTCAATTAATTTTATTTTGTACTTATTAGTTATTGAAACATGATATGGAGGGTAGTCCTTTTGGTCATCCAGTGTCCACAAATATTTCAATTCATAATATGAAATCCAAGCCCTGTCCCCTATACTCTGATTTTAAAAGCCCAGGCCACCTTCATTTTCTCTATGCAAAAAGTAAATTTAAGAAATATTTGTAAATCAAGGCACAGTCTCTCTTTTGTATAAATATTTGTGATTTCATTAATGATCAGTATTGTGTATAGTTAGATTGGGAAAACATAAGACAACACCATTTAGACAAGACTGTGACTAACACAATAATGCTTTTACAAAAGTTTATGATGTAGGTACTTTCTATTTTTTGAATTAATCTTCTTTTTTTTCTGGTACTTTATTGGTGGACGGCAATTTACTTACGGTTCTTCGACCTACAGAGGCAACCTTGAGGCATTTTCTTTTAGGAAATTAATTAAATCCTCAATAATAACTCTTAATTTAAGAGTTTGTAACTAATACAATCATAATATAATATGAGTGTAGTACATTTCGTAATATTTTTTTATAATTTAATGTTATATTAATTTTGTATTTCTAATGTAATATGTGCTGATATTTATGGACAGCACTTGCACCATGGCCCCTCGATATAGTAATGAGCCGACCAGGCCCATCTCTTTTAGATAAATTGTTAAATACCAACTCAATAAAGTCTTCCAATTTACATTTTACATTTATATTATGTAGATAATTTGGGATAATTTGAAGAAAAATTTGAAATTAAAGAGAGACTGTGTGAAGTAACAAAATATGTGGTGTGACTTGTACATTTGAACACTTGTTATAATGTATTATATTAAACTTTAGTTAATTTTTAATAGTGTACTATAATAAACATTTGAACAATTATTACAATAAAAGTATTTTATAGGGAAACCTGGGTAAGACGAGGACTAGAGGTAAGATGGCCGATGGTGACATCGTTGTATCTCAAAAACTATTGATTGTTGGGAAAATTTTTTTTACAAAAATTGTGCTATGTTGGTCACACTTTAATAATATTATTTGATATCAACAAATAATTAAAGTGATACGGGGCACGTGCGTATTCAATATAACGGCCATAGGCGATGTAAAATTTTGCAGACATCAAATAGTGAATAAGTAAGTAAATAATTGTCTATTCTTAATATTACTCCTATATAATTTTTAAAAAATATTATTAGTTTTCGATTAATGCAAATTTGGTAGAGATCATT